AAGAAGCAGCGGGTGGCATGAGCCCCTCTCCCTCCCCTCCTGCAAGGTTTAAAGGGTCCTCCAGCTGATCGTTAGGCCATGTGCTCCCTGCTAATCAGCTGAAGGGCCCTTTAAATCTTGCAGGAGGGGAGGGAGAGGGGCGTTTGCCAGTTTGGTGTAGTGGTTAAGTGCGCGGACTCTAATCTGGGAGAACCGGGTTTGATTCCCCACTCCTCCACTTGCACCTGGCTGGATGACCTTGGACAAGCCATAACTCTGGCACAGCTGTTCTTGAAAACGAGCAGTTTCTGTCAAGAGTTCTCTCAGCCCCACCTACCTCACGGGGTGTCTATTGTGGGGAGGGGAAGGGAAAGGAGTTTGTAAGCCACTCTGAGACCCCTTTGGGTAGTGAAGGGCGGGGTACAAATCCAATCTCTTCTTTGGGTAGTGAAGGGCGGGGTACAAATCCAATCTCTTCTTCTCTTCTTCTTCTTCATTATGGCAAATAATGACAGTCCCACCAGAAAAATCGTGGATACGGGCCTGGTTCCAGCTACAAAAATACATCTGTTTTGCATCAGAGCCAGTTTAGTGTAGTGATTAAGTGTGCGGACACTAATCTGGGAGAACTGGGTTTGATTCCCCACTCCTCCACTTGCAGCTGCTGGATGACCTTGGGCAAGCCATAGCTCTTGAAAGAGCTCTCTCAGCCCCACCTACCTCACAGGGTGTCTGTTATGGAGAGGGGAAGGGAAAGGAGTTTGTAAGCTGCTCTGAGACTCTGAGTGAAGGGCGGGGTATAAATCCAATCTCTTCTTCTTCTTCAGTTATGAAAGACACACACATCTATAGATATCCCTTTAAGTCAGGCTGCAAGATATTTAGAATGTGCCTTGGGTAAGTTCTGGAGAGTGTGCAATATAGATCTTTTACTTAAATACATTGACCAAACAGACACATCTCCCTTGCCACTTCAGAGTTCCTCTAAAACATGGTGCATAGTGGGTGAATGACCCAAAGGGCCCTGAGCTATGAATGCAGAGGAAGGGCAGATTCATTCACTTATTTTGTGTGTGCATTGCTTACTACTGTCTCTGGAAGAGATTCCTCTTCAGTGACAGCAATCCAGTGGCCTTATTTGTGGGACTCAAATCCTGGGAAGTAAGCTAGCACCAGGGAGCCATATTTTTTTAGTATAGGTTAGATTTGTGCTGCAGCTCTAGAATTATTAAAAAATGAAAGCTGTGTCTAAAATCCACTGTGATCAACTTAAAGGATCAACCTCTCTTGCCCTGGAGGAACAGTGTCTTCACTTGCAAGGTTGGCGTTTTCCTATCTCTGCTAGGCTCATCAGCTGTCCCCCTATCTGTCTCAGTCAGAAATAGCCATAATGATACATGCAACGGTCACCTCAAAGTTGGACTATTGCAACTCACTCTGTGCGGGGCTGCCCTTGAGGCTGTTACGGAAACTTCAGGTTGCACAGAATGTGGCTGCTAGGCTGTTGACTAGTGCGTCATGGTCATTGTTAAGTCGTGAGCTTAACAAATAGTCGGAGAGTGATTTCAGCAAGAATGCGGCTTTATTCTTCAGAACCAACACAACTCCAACACGGATCAACATCAGTCAGCCAGAACAGCTTAAACATTGCAGCTGTCCTGCTTTTAAACATTCCCGGCTAATGTAGCCACGCCTACTGTACAAGTTACCAACCAATGAGGTTGAAGACATAACGACCAATCACAAGCGTTCCCGCTCTGTGAATTGATTGGATGACACTTCCTGGGCTAGTGTTCCTATTGGTTACATTAGGATCCTAGCCCAGGCCGAAGCTTAATATTGCAAGTCAATGAGATGTTTCCATTACATACATTCATGCATTCAAGTCCATCTGAATACATAACAGTCATCTCATTTTCAACCTGTACTTAAGCAGCTGCACAGGTCGCCTGTTAGTTTCCAAGTCAAGTTCAAGTTGCTGGTTCTCACTTTTAAACCCCTAAACTGGGGTTTAAATCTGGGACCTTAGTATCTATGGATCACCTCTCCCTCTGAATTCCCCAAGGATGTTTTGTTCTTTATCACGTGGTCTGCTGATGGTGCCTGACCTACAGATGGGTTGACTGTCCTAAACGAGGGCAAGAGCTTTCGCAATAGTGGCTATCAGAGTTTAGGTGCAAGGCGAGGCAGAGTCCAAAGTCAGAGTTGAGATTCAGTCCAGAAGGTTAGTTATCAGAGCAGAGTCTCATTCAGAGCAAGGTCCAGAAAGCGAGGTCTAGCAGTCCAGGGTCATATACAAGAGCAAGCAGGTCCAATATCTAAGGCCAAAGCCAGTTCGAAGGTCACTGGAGTGGAGCAGAGTCAGGAGCAGAATCAGGAACTGTGGACACAGAGTACACCAAGTAGTGACTTGTTGCTTCCACACCAAGCAGTCTCCCTTCATTGGCTTTTATAGGCATCTGCTGCACGGTCTTACTTGCAGCCAACCGCTTGGGAGTAACCCTGCAGCTACTCATCATCAGAAAGCAGTTGGCATCGGGCCAGGAGTTAACAGCCCGCTTCATCTTCTTTCCTGGAGCTCCATTCTAAGCCTTTGTCTCCGATGCTCAAAGGGTGTGGGTGAAACTGGCATATTAACGGGGAAAGATGGGGCTGCTTGATGGTAACCAAGAAGGCTTTGTTTCTAAAGTGATAAAGCCCAGCTAAAGCAAAATAAAAAAATCAATTCACTTCTCCCATCCGAAAATTCAGGGCAATCCAATAGAATATGATCAATATAGTCAATTCAGTTGGTACCACATCTGCAGAATCTATTAGTGTATGGAATACCATTAAACCTTTGTAACAGCACCACCAGTGACAAGGCATTCAAATGGGCAAGCATAAATGCCCTTCTGTGCTTCGGAAGAGATCATTCAAACAGGTAGTTTGGCATTGGGGGGGGGGAATACCAGCTGAAACGGATGAACATATACTTTGTCAGTTCCAACCAACATACTCTTATAATCAAGATCCCTCGAATGTCTTTTAGTTGACTTTTTGGTAACCTACCTTGAGTCTAAAAGAAGCAGGTAGGCTATAAATGATGATGATGATAATAATTTAACACCTGAGACTTCCAAACATTAGAAAGCCTAAGAAGACACTGTGCTTATTAAAATACCAATTTCCCACATTGTTGTGAAGCATCTGTCGGGAAAGTAAAATGCGAACAATGTAGAAAAGTCTTCCAAATTATTCCGAGTAGCATTTGTGATTTTTCAGGAGGGGAAGGGCAGCTCAGCTCAACGTGATTTATTTTTATCCAAAACTCAGAATAATTTCCTGATTATTCATCGCATTTCATCCATCCCAGCTTTGCCTTTGGCTTGATTATGGAGGGGAGACGCCCACATCAAGAAGAAGAATTATACCGCTCAGCACTGCAGTGGTTGCTCCCCTTCTCTGTATTTTTGTATTTAATATTCTGGAAGACTGTGTTCTACTTAAATTTTTTTCCTCATTTTAAAACAGCAGTAAGCATAATTCCCTCCCTAGAGGCTCTCTCAGCAGGTGGTTCATTAAAAATACATACCTTGATTTTTTAGTAAGCAGCACTCTACAACAGGAACAGATATTCATTTTCTAAAATCTGGTTCCTAATTATAAGCCCTAATAGCCTGTGTTCATCTTGGCAACCTTAAAATATTAATTGCAAAGCCTTGGATATTTGTAGCACAGAAAGCTCTTGAGCTCTCTGGGTTCAAAAGGATAGGAACACAGCCTTGGAAACGGAACGGAGAAAGTAGCCGGATCCAAGAAGTGTGCGGCACATCGAGACGGAGGCAATTTGACATAAATATAATGAGCTCCTTCTAATTTATTTATTGTTTTTGAAATTCTGCAGGGAGAGCCGGGTTATTTGCAACGGCAACTCTTGCATTTGAGCTGCAGCTCCTGAAAAAGTGAGCAGCAAAAACAATCTCCAGTGTTTAGGGGGGAAAGTACTATATCTTATATTAAGTCTCTCTCAGAAACGGCAGGTCTTTGCCCTCCCCTAGCGGCAGCCGTATACCAGCCCATCTTTCTAGAACAGTAGATCTCAAAACAATTTTCCAAAAGAGGCACGCGCAAAATTTGGCATATTTTTAAATCCACCACTAATGACAGCCAAAATTTCCTTAAGAAAAATGTTTAGAAGATTGCAGATGTTTTTTTTAAAAAATAGTTCTCTTCGTCACTAGCTTATCTCCCCTGCCCCCAAATATCTTACTGTAAAAATGCACCAAGGATATCCATCTTTTTACTGTGGAATTTTTGGCCGCCACTGGAGTTACAGTAAAAGGTAAAGGTTCCCTTGCTCGAAAGCCAGTCGAATCCGACTCTAGGGTTGCGGTGTTCATCTCCGTTTCAAAGCCGAAGAGCCAGCACTGTCCGAAGATGTTTCCGTGGTCCTGTGGCCGGCATGACTAAACACCAAGGCGCACAGAACGCTGTTACCTTCCCACTGAAATGGTACCTCTTTATCTACTTGCAATTTCTTGCTTTCGAACGGCTAGAAAAAGCTGCTCGTCAGAGCAGACAATCCAGAGACCTGCTCGAGGCAGTTTACAGCAGTAAAACAAAGCCACTAAAAGCCATGCATTAAAAACAAAGCCATTAAAATATTCACTCAAACAAACTGACACCATTAAATCCAGCCACTAAAACAAGCCCATATAATGCTTTTTAAAAAGCCTGGACATAACAAGAACATAAAATATACACCAGGCATCCTGATATACATAAAATGAGATAAAACGCCTTGGTTTAAAGGCTGGATTAAAAGGAATGCTTTGGTTTAGCACCTAAAAGAAAGCAAGGTAAGCACCAGGTGAGCCTTGAGGGGGAGGGCATTCCAAAAGTGAGGTGCTACCACCGAAAAGGCCTTGACACTTTCTACCTCACCTCTGAAGATGGGACTGCAGAGAGCAGGGTTTGAGAACAGGATCTTAACTGGTGGGCTGAACAGTAGAGGTGGGTGTGGTCCTTCAAGTACCCTGGTCGCAAACAGTTCAGAGCTTTGAAGATAAGAACCAGCATTTTCTGACATTCTGTGATCTTCAGATCCCTCATCTAACACCGTTCCTTGAAAACCGAACTCTACAGTTTTCTCACTAGAAGTTCCAGAAGTTTGCCTCTTACCCTTCCGTTTCCTTCTCTGTATTCGGCACTTTGATTCATAAGACAGGGCAAGTGTTCGGGGTGGGTAGGAATAGGGCTGCCAATTCCCCCCGGGGGGTGGATAACCCCCCACTTTGGAGGCTCGATTTCCGCCGCCACGAAATCGGGCCCCAGGGGGAACTATGTTTTCCCCTCAAATGGCTGTGGCCCCGCCCCCAGCGTGCCCGGCATCATCACGTCACATCCGGCTGACGTGCATACGGCGCGCGCGCACTTCGCGTGCGCTCAGGACACCGTCTGGGAGCCCCCCGCCGCGAGGAGAAACGGACTTGGCAACACCAGGTAGGAAGCGGAACAAATCTTTCAGTAAACTTGCTTGTGCTGTTAAAAGGAACAGAAGTGCAGGAAAAAAAGTACTCAAAGATCCTTAACAAGAGCAATAGGAATTATGTTTTTAATTACATTTAGTTATGTAGGTAACACAAAATAGTCACAGTTAATCAGTTTTGGCTGGGCCCTTTTGGGTTGTGCTGCTTCCTGATGGCACGATTAGAAATTAATCCCAGGGTGAACATTTTGAGGTTATTTGGTCTGGGTAGGCTACCTGCAGGAATTAAGGGTGCCTCCATATATGATTTTTTATAAATACAGCTTTGGATACTGGATGTATTGAGGGACATGGGCATGGGCCCCTTTGGGAGAGTAAGCTGGTCCTTTTTCGTTATTGCTGTGACGGTATTCGGTTGCTACATCCACAGGCACAATCATTCCTTAAGTTGGGGACAATATAATTGGAAGCTGTGAAGCACACGTTTACAGCAGCAGACACTGAATTTCTGAAGGGAATTGACATAGGAAAGGTAATACTGCCAGGTGCTGAAAGATAATCAGTAGTCCAGAAAGCATCTCTGAATTATTTTTAGCCACACAGTGTTTATATTAAGGACAGGAATGAGCTAATGCAGAGGCAGAGCCCCAAAATGACAATGTGAATTGTCCTTGACTTTGTGTATCTTGTGCTGTGTACCATTTTCTTCACAGGATAACTTCTTATGAGAGGTACATATTCATGTCTAGGGGTGTGCGTTCGGTTTATCCGAGCCGGGGGGAAACCCCCAAAATACCTTACTGGTATTTTTTTGGGTTTTCCCCTGGCTCGGATAAACCGAATGCCTTACTGGTATTTTTTGGGTATTTTTTCAGCTGGATATCAGATGGGGTATTTATTTGGCTATCCGATACAGCCGAGCCTGAAAAATCCTGAAAATACTCACGATTTTTCAAGGCTGCCGTATAGGTGGCGTTAAAGGGTGTTTAAAGGGATTGCAGCCCCTTAAAACACCTTCTGGATGAAGCCACAGCTTGGAGAAGGCATTTCAAGGGACCACAATCCCTTTGAATGCCTTTCCCCCCTCCATTGGAAACATGGAGGATGGGGTCACCTTCTTCTGGGAACCATAGAATTGGACCCCCTGGTCTTCCAAAAATAGAATAGAATTGGACCCCTTCGTGTCTTCCAAAATTCAAACTGGCGTTTCTTCTGACATGCACCTGCCCCCTCTCTTCAGCTTGTTGTATGTGTGTGGCTTTCTTCAAGCATTGATGGGTAAATCATTCAAATACAGAGATTTTTTGCCTGTTGGGAAACAACTACCTGACCGTCAGCTCTCAGTGACCGTTCTGGCCGATGAGCTTAACAAAGGAATGGTCAGCCATAACAGCCTTGTCCTATGAGGCATTTTGTGGACTAGATTGGGGGTCTCCAACTTTTTTGAGCCTGTGGCTGCTTTTTGAATTCTGTCACAGTATGGTGGGCCCAGTCACGAAATAGCTGCCACAAACTGGGTGCCACAGGAGGCAGATCCAGCCACAAAATGGCAGCCGCAACTGGCAGCTGCTGTCCAAGCAGTGTTTTTTGAAGTCTGCAGAGCCAATCAAATCTCCAGTGGCCAATCAGAAGAGAAGAGATTGGATTTATACCCCGCCCTTCACTCAGAGTCTCGGAGCGGCTTATGAACTCCTTTCCTTTCCCCTCCCCACGACAGACATCCAGTGAGGTAGGTGAGGCGAGAGAGCTCTTTCGAGAACTGTCCTTGAGAGAACAGCTCTGGCAGAACTGTGGCTTGCCCAAGGTCATCCAGCCAGGTGCAAGTGGAGGAGTGGGGGATCAAACCCGGTTCTCTCAGATTAGAGTCCGCACACTTAACCACGACACCAAACTGGCTCTCAGAAGCCCTGCTGGGCAAAGGACCCATCTGGCCATGCCCACTTTCTGAAAGCATTTGGTGAGCATCGAAAAAGATGTCGGTGGAGACTGCGGCACCCACGGGCACCACGCTGGCGACCTCTGGACTAGAAATTTGAGTGTTTTGCCAAGATAACTACACTGAACTTTGGTTATACAAGAAATCTTCCCCATGTGATTGACAGGACTTAAAAAAACTTCGCTGTGGGTGAATCATTCCCATATAGGCTTTTAGCTCGACACAAGCTAGGTTGGGCGTTCAGTGAAGCAGTCAGCAGCTTGCAGCACCACAATCCTGCTATATACCAATCGGGGATCCAAAAAGCTGCTTTAGGAGCCTCCAAGGGCTTTGGCGTGCCCAGTGGAATAACTGACTTCTTTCTCTAGATGGCGGACCTCTGTGCCAGTTCATAGAGTGCTTTTGAAAGTCCCTTGAGCTTCAGAGGGGGGGTTGTGAAGTGGTGTGTATGTATTGCTGTTAAACACAATGTCCAAAATCTCTTGATTGTGTAGAACCAATTATTTGGTTCTTTGGATCCAGACTATCCGTAATGGCCTTCATGCTAGAAAGGAGGCGGAGGGGGTCTAAGGACTGGATTCTCACAGTTTAGTGCACATCAGTCTCCAGTTCTGACATATTTATCACCTATGTTGTTCCCCCCCCCCAAGTTGAACCCAAACAGATGATAACCAGAAACTGAGCTTGTCATTCTCTTGATCTGTTAATAAACATCTATATACTAATAGCAAAGGCGCCCCCGTGCATGCGGATACCTAAATCCGCGCATCGGGGGCACCTGGGGGGGAGGGAGATTTTCGTGCACACTTGGGGCAGTCCCCAGGTGTGCACAAAAATCTGAAAAGTGTAAAAAAATATCAGGGGGATATTTTAATCCCCCCAAAAGTAAAAGAGCGTCCCCTGTGCATGCGCAGAGAACTCTCTGCGAACTGCCTCGCTTCAGTGCGGGGGGGAGGGGAGAGAGAGACCGGCGAGGCCCAGCGGCTTGGGGAGGGGAGAGATACCGTTGAGGCCCGGCAGCTGCAAGCCGCGGGCCTCACTTTGAAGCGGGGGGAACCGGCGGGATGGGGGGGAACCGGCGGGATGGAGGGAACTTACCTCCTGCTGCTGCTTCCTCCTCTGCCTGATAAGTGTGCAGCTCCCTCCCCCCCTCCCGCGAGTATTGTGGGTCCCGCCCCTTGTCTTTACTATTTTGCATGCTGATTTAACAAGCCACCCCTATATATACAACTGTGTTCTGTAATTCCGTTTCATTGTCTGACTACGAAAGCTCACGCCTTGAATAAAACTTTGTTGGTCTTGAAAGTGCCGCTGGACTCCCAACTTTGTTCTATAGCTTTTCTAAAGAACACTCAAAATGCAAAATAGATAAGTGTTGAATATCATATTTGTGGGAGAGGGGTTGTAGTAGATAGTGGCTTGACCTTGACTAGATCCTCTCCCGGTTCTGGACATTTTGAGAACACCTCTCTCTTCTTTAACTTCCAGGTTCTTCTTCCAAACATAAACAAGACCTCCATGCAAACTGTCCTGGATTACCTGTACACCAAGCAGCTATCTTCCAGTCAGGAGTTGGACACGCTTGAATTAATTGCACTGGCAAACAGATTTTGCCTCCCACATTTGGTCGCACTTGCAGGTAAAGGTTCTGGCACTTCACTGGCGTCGCCGCAGACTTGCGGCAGCGCTTTTCTTCTGACGTCGTTGAAACATTCTGTTGTTGCTGTGTCATGCATGATCTTTGGGCCACCCCCACCCCCCCGACATACGGTTTTGCTTTCCCAAAATCAAATGATGATACATCAGGGGAAAACATGCAGTGCTTCCTTTACTCCCCTCTGTGCTGAATTAATTTAGTCCACTGAAGAAGCTCGTGCATGCTTTAGAGACGGGAAGCAAAGAGGAGTCTGTAATTCATAATGCCCATTAGGCAACCGATTACCCTTAATTGAAAGAGCATGACCGTTAGAGCTTCCATGGCAGATTCCTCTTTTGAGAGTCATAATGGCTGATCTTAAACCATTTTAAATCAAGCCAGTTCAAGCGAGCATCCCATAAAAGAGTGGGCCAAGTTGGTTTTATTACCCTGTTTTGACTTGGTTAATTATTTTGCCAGTAATACGGAGATAGCTAATTCCAGGAATCGCCCCCTTCCTCCCGTCTGCGGTTGTTTTGAATGGAAGTGGGCCCGCATACAAGATGTCTTCATTTTATCTCAGGGCTCCATAAAATAAATCCCCATGAGCCCAAATTGGAGGGGGGGCTGTTTCGGGGGGGGGGGTCCCCTCCACTGCCACTGGCAATATTATGGTGGATGAGGGCACAGTTAAAGCAGAGACCTTTTTGAAATTGTAGAACAAATTTAGAGTCCAATGGCACCTTTATTTTGTATTGTAGTTATTTTACTAAGTAAGCTGGTTTGTCTCTCTTTTCCATCACAACAGAGCAACACGCAGTGCAGGAGCTGACTAAAACTTCAGTGAGCGGTGTTAGCATAGATGGAGACGTACTGTACTATTTGGAAATAGCCCAGGTTAGTACCAGTACGTTATGGACGGGGTATATTCTTACCAGCGATATTGTGGGGTTTTTTAAAATGTAAACACTCTGTTTTTGGATGATGATTGTGTAATGCAGGGGTCCCCAACCTTTCTGAACCTCCAGAAACCTTTGGAATTCTGAAACAGGGTGATGGGAGTGGCCACAAAATGGCTGCTGTAAGAGGCAGTGGCAGCCACAAAATTGCCCCAGCTTACCTTCAGTCACACCGTGAAGATCCTTGTACTGTGCTGGCAGCTGCTGCTGAAGGAATGTTTTTAAAAATCTGCACATCCAGTAAAGTCTCCACTGGCCGGTCAGAAATGTTGCTGGGCAAAAGAAGAAGAGCTTTATACCCCTCTCTTCACTACCCAGAGGAGTCTTGGAGCGGCTTAGAATCGCCTTCCCTTCCTCTCCCCACAGCAGGCACCCTGTGGGGTAGGTGGGGCTCTCTCTGCCCCCCTTCTAAAAACACCTGCTGGGTGCCAGAAAGGGTGTCAGCGGGGGCACCATGTTGGAGACCCCTGTTACCAGGGCTTTTTTTGTAGAAAAACCCCAGCTGGAACTCATTAGCATAATAGGCCACACCCAACAGCAGAAACTCATTAGCATATTAGACCACACCCTGGCAGTGTGGCTCATTAGCATATTAGGCCACACCCCATGCCTTCCCTTGGCTTGCCCGGGCGCCCCGCGCCCCCTTGAAGGGAAGGGAAGGCAGTTTAAACAGGCCGGGGAAGGCACGGGGAGGCATTTAAATGCCTCCCCAATCCTTGAAGGGCCCCCTTGGCTCACCTGCCTTGGAGTCGCTCTCCAGGCCTTCCCTCTGTAGCCACGCACATGCAGAGGTTTTGGCTGTAGTGGGCGTGGCCTACTATGAAATGCTTGGAAAGTTGCTGTTCTCCCTGAACAAAAGCCCCTGTTGTAATCGTTTTCTTTATTTTGGAATTTTGCCGCTGTGATCATCATGGTTGCTGAGAATCATCTTAAAGAGATGCCATGAATGCTTTATTGTCCTGCCCTTCCTTTTAGACAGCTCAGGGTGGAAGTTCTCATTCCTGCAGCCTGCACACACACACACACACCCCGCTTCTGTGAAATAGGACATCATCTGTAGTGGACAGTCCGCAAACAAGACAAGGGGGTGCTTGTCTCTTTCCAGGTCTGCAAGTTCTCCCTGACAAATCTGTACAAATGGAGCTCATTTTCCCACCAGCCAGTCTTAACTTTTAGAGCCTGGTTGTGGGGAAAATATGAGCTATATACAAATGAGCTATATACAATTGGGGGGGAGGGATGCATAGAAAAAGTGACAGGCAAGCAGACAGTTAGGCACCGCCGCCACCCCCCGCGTGCCAGCGCTCCTCTTCAAATTCTCATCTCCATCACAGCACCATGTGTGCATCTCATTACCACTGTGGTGCTATGGGATGCACATAGTTGGATGCCTCAAGTTTGTCCCCTGATTAAATAAAGATGTGAAATTTCCGGAAATTTTGAAGCTCGGGAAAAAACCTGGGTTTTTTCCGGGTTTTTTCGGAAAAAAACAGGAATTTTTGGGAAAATTTGAAAAAAATGCTACATTAGCATTTCTTTTGTCTTTTCTAGATTGAAAGTCATTCTGTTACTTTAGGAACATAAAATATGACTATGGACATTTTTACTTGGCATGAAATTATCACAACTAGCATATTAAAAATATAGTGTATCCAAACAGTTATTACAAACAGAATACCCACCCACATGCAAAAACAAAACTGAAACCTTTTTTCAATCTGATACCATATGTATCTTTTAGAAATGATTTGGAAAATATTTGAACACCTTGTGTTAAAATATTTTATTCATGTTAAAATAAAGTGTTCTATAATCAATTTTTTTTCTTTTTTCAATTTTTCCAATTTTTTTTTTGGGGGGGGAGAAAGGCTTCAGGAAAAAAATGGGGGGGAAACGTTTTCCCCCTGAATTTTTCCAGTTTTTTCCCGGGCCTTCACATCTCTACCCCTGATGCATAGGCCAGGCCTCAGAGCAGGCCTTCCACTTGTCTCCTATTCAAGCTCTTTGTTGTAGTAACCAAACCTATTCAGCCATTATCCGGCCACTGAATTCTGGGGTGAGAATCAGTCTATAACGGCAACTCAGAGCAGTAGATCCAAAAGATCTTCCTCACTGAATCACTGCAGCTCCCTAACACCCCCCCCCCCCCAAATTTTCCCCTTGCACTGAACAAATGTTTTTTTTTTTATTTCTGGTGTTGCCAAGCTTTTTTGTCGTTTCTAGTGGGTGGCCGTGTTGGTCTGCAGTAGAAGAGCAAGTTTTGAGTCCAGTAGTCCCCTTAAAAGACCAACCAGATTTTTGGGGTGTAAGTTTTCAAGAGTTAAAGCTCCCTTCATCGGATACAAGTAGGAATGGAGATCCCTGAGCCCTTATATCCCAGTCAGGAGGCGGTAGGGGAGCTTTGACTCTGGAAAACTTGTTCCCTGGAAATCTTGTTAAGAACATACGAGAGCATAAGAGCAGCCAATGTTGGACCAGGCCAATGGCCCGTCCAGTCCGACACTCTGTCACACAGTGGCCAAAAGTATCAGGTGCCATTAGGAGGTCCAGCAGTGGGGCCAGGACACTAGAAGCCCTCCCACTGTTGCCCCCCCCAAGCACAAAGAATACAGAGCCTCCCTTGCCCCAGACCGAGAGTTCCTATCTATACCTTGTGGCTAATAGCCACTGATGAACCTCTGCTCCATATGTTTATCCAGTTCCCTCTTGAAGCCGTCCATTCTTGTGGCTGCCGCCACCTCCTGTGGCAGTGAATTCCACGTGTTAATCACTCTTTGGGTGAAGCAGTACTTCCTTTTATCCGTTCTAACCCAATCGCTCAGCAATTTCATCGAGTGCCCACAAGTTCTTGTATTGTGAGAAAGGGAGAAAAGTACTTCCTTCTCTACCTGCTCTATCCCATGCATAATCTTGTAAACCTCGATCACGTCACCCCCTCAGTCGTCGTTTTTTGGTCTTTAAGGTGCTACTAGACTCATACTTTTTCATGTGGCGCTCATATGGCTCAGTCCCTGGATAATCCTCTTCTGCATTAAACTCCGGAGAATCGTTCTGCAGGGCAACTGTTGGCTCCACAGAACACTGATTCCGCTCCCTTCTTTTCCAGTTCCACAACGCTCACCAGCTGGCAGCTTGGTGCTTGCACTATATCTGCACCAACTACAACAGTGTTTGTTCCAAGTTCCGCAAGGAAATCAAAACGAAATCTCCTGGTAAGACCCTTTGGCAAGCTTTCCTTCACCCGTCCTTCCAAACTTTGTATTTTTCTCTTTATTTTTTTCATACACATTTTTTTTTAAAGGTTGCTAAATTAAGTAAACTTGCACATAAACTTGCGAGCCAGTATCTTGTAATGCTTTGTGTTGGACTAGGATCCAGGAGACCTGGGTTCAGATCCCCACTCAACCTTCAAACCTTGTTGGGTGACCTCGGACCAGTCACACACTCTCAGTCTAACCCTCCTCATAGTGGGTGTATATCTGAAAAACACTGCAATTTTTAAGGAATTTACACAAAATCCTATTTGAAATTACAAAAAAACCTCTTATTAACTATTCTTTAAAGATGCAGTACAAGTACAAATTGGATTTAAACATATGAAGCTAAACCATAATGCATGAGGTTAACCACGTAGCATTAACCATGGCAGCGGATGTCCCAGGTAAATCTCCATTGCGAACCTTCGTCAGGCCGTAATGGTATGGTAAAGCTGCAACAAAAATCACAAAATCTGAGCATTCTATACTGCAGGTCGAAATCATACGGTAAAGCTTTAACAAAAATGACAGAAACTGAGCATTTATATTGAATGCAATTATCAGAGTCAGAATTACTCTCACCCAGGAGCACAGAGGCACTGAACATGTTATTAAGCTGGACCCCCTGACATCAGATCTTCACTCACCCAGGAAAGAGTTGCGGGGACTAGTGCAGGACATGCACAGGCCCTTATTCTCTGTTCCCAGTTGGACTCCACCACTCAAGTGTTACACCAAGCTAAAAAAAAATATTTTGTTTGAGAATTATTACACATCTAACTTCATAGGAGGCTTGGGAGGTTCCCACAAACACATCGATACATACCTAAGCAGCTCTACTATTTCCGTTGACACGAAGGCCTATTCAGTATTCCAGCCGGCTCCACAAAGTCAAAAGCCCTGGGTATTAGGGGACAACGTTCTCCTGAAGAAGCCATTCCGATTCTCATAATTGCTTACAGGTGTTTAGATCTTAAAGGTACATGCAAGAATTACAAAAATACAGAATAAGCCATGGACATGTTTAAGCCCTTAGGATACATTGTTTGGAACTTGAATATGAAAAATATAACTCTTTCTGAAGTAAGATTTTATGAATGTCCATTCTATTTGATTGGTTAGCCCTGAACTCTGTATAAAACAGTGAACCTAATGTCATCTGGTGAATGGCCTTTTTCCAGATAGTGGGAAACCATAGGAGCCTCTGTCAATGCATTTTTAATATGATTTTTCTGTTCCAACATCGTGGCCTTTAACCGTCTAATAGTTGAACCAATGTAAGGTTTTGGGCAGGAACAGATTGCCAAATATACAGTGAAAGTGGAATTACAATTATTGAATAATTGTGGTTGCCACTTAATGTTGATCTTAAAAAAAACAAAAAACATACAGCCATTGGCAGGCACAAGCATCTCACCAACACTGTTTCCAGTGAAACCAGTGAGACCCAGTTTGGTGTCATGGTTAAGTGTGTGGACTCTAATCTGGGAGAACCGGGTTTGATTCCCCACTCCTCCACCTGCACCTGGCTGGATGACCTTGGGCAAGCCGTAGTTCTGATAAGAGCTGTTCTTGAAAAAGAGCAGTTTCTGTCAAGAGCTCTCTCAGCCCCGCCTACCTCACAGGGTGTCTGTTGTGGGGAAGGGAAGGGAAAGGAGTTTGTAAGCCACTCTGAGACACCTTTGGGTAGTGAAGGGTGGGGTATAAATCCAATCTCTTCTTCTTTACATTCAAAAACTGGACCCTCTGTCAATAGTTCACAGGCTGCACAATTGGCACATCTATATATTCCCGATGATAAAGCACTCCCTGTTGTACATTTTGATTTTATGTCTGATGTTTTCAAGACATTGGAGGAAGTGAATAACAGTGACAGATCTGAATTTTTGAAGGCCCAGTCAAAGCAACCTACCACCAGAATAGCATGTGCTTTTGACTTCTCACGATTGGGACATAAAATCAAAAGAAGTATCTATAGACATTGGCATATTCTTAAGGACTTACCTGGTTGTGAGGAATTGCCAGTAATTGGGTGGAAGAAATCAAAGAGTATTGGTGATATTATTATTAGATCAGCTTTACCCTATGATTATGGCCTGATGAAGGGTCGAAACGGAGATTTACCTGGGACATCCATTGCCATGGATGTTACTATGTGGTTAACCTCATGCATTATGGTTTAGCTTCATATGTTTTAATTCAATTTGTACTTGTAGTGCATCTTTAAAGAATAGTTAATAAGAGGGTTTTTTGTAATTTCAAATAGAATTATGTGCATAACCCTCATTACAGGGCTGTTATGAATTAGAATGGAGGAAAGGGGAAAGAAGGAAGCCACAGTATAAGGAAGGTGGGGTATTGAAATAAATAAATATGTATGATGGGAGGGGTAGTTTCAACCTCCTTTTAAAATAATTTGCCAAGGATTGGAGGAACAGGATGTGATAGGAACTGAGAACTGAACAAAATTACCATCTGGGCAGACCCCCAAAGTAGTTGAAGACAGGTCGATTGTAGCTTCTCCCTCCTCTTCCTTCATTCTGTGGCAGAACTAGGGTTATGCTTGCCACATCAGATAGGAGAGAGAGAGAGAGAGACAGACAGACAACAAAGACCAAGAGAGGAAGCAAGCAGGGTAGAGTATGAGCTGCCTTGTCGCCTGCTACATCAATGGGATTTAAAAAATTATGTCTGGTGTTTATTATGCAGGCAGAAGGGCAGATAAATGGGCACAGAGCACCATGATATCAATGACTTCAGGAAGCTGGGCCCAGAGCTCTGTTTTGGTTTGCTTTTACAATCTTCATCCTGTGTGGCAAACTTGCTGTCTCCACACATTTTTGGCAGCGTTCTCTGACTTATGCGTGTTGTAGCACTGAATAGTATTGTTTTCATTTTGTCCCTTATCACATAATCCTGGCTAAATTAATAGTGCGACTAGCTAAGTTGATCAACTTTTGAATTCAGAATAGACGGCAGGAAATGAGTCAGAAATGGTGCGTGGATTTAAGAACGGATAAACACATGTGAACTCTGAGAATCTTCTCAGTATGCTCACAGCTAAACTGTGGTCTGAAAGTCGGGGCTGTATTGATTTGATTTACGTTCATTTTAAGTCTTCTCTTTTTTTAATTTGTTTACTGACAACTTTTCTTACAACATCTCAGACCTGCTCAGACATTGGCAAAACTAAGGAACCGTGAGCAGTGAGCCCACAGAGTAATTCCCAGGCCAGGGCTCTTTTTGTAGCAGGTACTTATTTGCATATTAAGTGACACACCCCTGTAAGAAGAGCTCTGTAAGCTCTTGGAGGATTGGCTACATTAGGGGTGTGTGGCCTAATATGCAAAGGAGTTCCTGCTACAAAAAGAGCCCACATCCTTCCCCTGTCCAAGGTGTGCCTGTCTCCGGCACATCCAGTGGATACAGCATCAGAGTCTTTGGAAGATGGCCATAAAGTGAGGCTGCCTCCAGAAAACAAGATAGAGTTTCTACTGAGTGATGAAAAACGTTAATTGGGGTGGGGGGGGGGGGGGGGGGGAAGAGTATCTTGCCAGTTGCACATTTCTGTCCTTCCTGCTTGCAGGCATTGAAAACCTGGGCACGGCCAGTGGCATAGTCCCAAGGGCTCTCAGGCCTTGGCTCTTAATTTGTGGCTTGCAGTTTGTGGCCCTTGAAGGATCTAACTGCCAGATTTAGAAACATGCCGAGGATGTGGTTTTGTGCGTCTTGTTTCGTTTCGCTGTTTGTATATTTGCTTGGATAATTGTTTATTTAAGTTGTGTGTTTTTGGAAGCCAATCTGAGTCCCTGCTGGAGAGAAAAGCAGGGCAACAAGTTACCTAAATAAAAATAAATAAGTATCAAAGCGGCCTAGGGATGTTAAACCCAGTAATCCATTATATTTGTCTGGTAAAATCTGGATTCCCTGCATTGTGCAGGGGGTTGGACTAGATGACCCTGGAGGTCCCTTCCAACTCTATGATTCCTTCCTTCCTTCCTTCCTTCTTTCCTTTCCTTTCCTTTCCTTTCCTTTCCTTTCCTTTCCTTTCCTTTCCTTCCTTCTCCTTTCCTTTCCTTTCCTTTCCTTTCCTTTCCTTTCCTTTCCTTTCCTTTCCTTTCCTTTCCTTTCCTTTCCTTTCCTTTCCTTTCCTT